CCTAAAACAGAATCTAATCTATTTTTGTCCATGAAATTAACTCAACAATCATGTTTAATTTGCTAATATATTACTGTTTAACAGCTGATGTTGGTAAGTAACCAAGTTAATTAAGACCTTAATCTTCTTGTTGAAGTTCCTGAGGTTTCTCTTGCTTCTGTATCTCTCAATCCTCTCCTTCTTCTCTTCAGGGCTGTACCGGCATGCTTTGCTCATACTCTCAATGATGGCACAGCTCTCATTCAACAACAGACTCTCCGACTTGGGGCTGTGATGGGCCATTCTAAATCCCTGTATACTCACCAAAATTCCACGAAAATGAGGTTAACAGCAGAACTGTTTACACAAATTAATAGGTAATCAATTTATCATTTGCATTTTTTTTTTCTCATTGAGAAATTTCATCAGACACTTAATCAACCTGCTCCAAATCGCCGGTACTGCAGACCCTTCTGACAGGACCAACATCGGAACCCACAAACTCGTTACAGCTTGACCCGAAAAGGCAATGGAGGCCGTTCTTCTGGAGAGAGTGGCTGCTGGCGCTTCTCTGCATGAAACAGGGCTTATGAGTGCAGCAACTCGCCAGCGAACTAGGCGAGTTGTAGCCGCTGCTACTGCTCCCATGAAACGCCTCGCTGGCAAAGTCGAACTCGGTCTCGACGAGCTGCGGCAGGGGGAAAGTTTGAGGCGTGACAGGGTAGGGCGAGAGAGAGTCGGAGGCGCGTGTGAAAGTGTTCATGGCGTCTAAGGGGCGGGAGGGGATTCGATTGGAGAGAGAAAGAGAGTGAGGTGGACAGAGCGAAGGGTGAGAAGAAAGGGTTTGGTAGTTATAGGAAGACGGAAGAATTGGAAGCTGACGTGTAAGATGACGTTGGACAGAGCGTTGACTTGTTCTTGTTGTGTTTCGATTTCCATATTGACACGTGCACAAAACACTTCATAGATCAACCCCATGGAGCTCTAACAATGTGTTCTGGATCAAAACCCTATTGCGTGGTTCGTGTGACAATTGTATTGATGTTTCACTTATACTATTAGAGTTTGAGTCCTCTTATCTCTATTTCCCTCCCTTTCCTTCAAGTTTTTTCACAAAAATAATAATAATGATAATATGTTTGGATCGAACGATTTAAAAGAAAAGTGAAGAAAGTTCAAAAAAAAAAAAGAAAAGTGAAGAAGAAAGAAAGGGTGATGGTGATAGAAACCCTCATTCTTTTGTGCTTTATCTCTAAATTGAAAGATATATTGCAATGAGCTTATATATTTAATTATTTGTTGCAGTACTATATTGATTCTAGGACAATCTCTTTCAAATAAAATTATGAAAGGAAGATATTTGTAGTTTAAGCCATGCACTGACATATTTGTTGCAACAGTTAGAATGTGCTTAGGATGTATGCACTAGACATATATCTCAAGTTTGAATTTTAGTGTTGCGTGTAGGTGATATTCTAATATTAAAGATAAAAACTTGTAAAAAAATCTCTTAAATAATATTAAATTATTATTTAAAGCAAACGAGAGAAAAGTAAAGGAATTAACAATAAATAATCTAGCTAGGTTAGGGGACAAAGTTGTATGTTTAGAGAAAATACTTTAGAATTTGCGTTAATGATTATGTGAAGGAAAAGGGGTTAATGAATGGAGTTCACTTTTTCTAGTAGAGGTCCTATGTCTGTATTTTGTTTTTGGAAGGCATGCTCATACCTTCCAAGGCCAAAGGATACCCAAGAATCATACCTACCCAACTAGCCAGCATTTGACAAAAGACAAAACCTTATGTTAAAGTCTCAAATTTATTTTTATATTTTTTTATTAAAATAAATAAATTTCAAAACTGGTTGATATGAGGAATTTTTTTTTTATAGCAAACTTAACACATGTTTATATTTTATTTATATAAATAAAATCAATACCTATCACATATATAAATAATGATGTGTTAATAACATATTTATGTAAGTGATATACAAATGTACATTAAATGTGTTGTAAAAAGGAGAGTTAAATTATCTATTGTAAAATTTAAAAATTTATTAATTTCAACAAAATTTTTAAAATGTAATAAAAAAATCTAAAATAAGTTTAGAGATTTAATGTAAGATTTTACCTTGACAAATTAAGCAAACAGAAAAGAACCTTGGGGAAAAAAAAAAAAGAAAGAAAAGAAAAGAAGAGACCCCACCACTTGACATCGTGACATGGGAACCATTTTTTAACATGGCCCCATGTGAGCACCACATAGTAATGTACATAGTTCCAATCATTTATAATGGGTTGTGGATGGTTATATTATATTAGGATTAATGATAAGTACTATATTTTATTAGTACTAATTATAAGTACTTAAACATAATTATATCGTTATAATCATCATCGTAATGACATGAGAGTTTGGCACATCTTCATCATAATTAGAATGACTTTATCCAAATTAGTGTCCTTATTATGAATAATTAATTTCAAACAAAGTAATTATCATAAATTCCTTAATTATATAAAAAAAATTGATATTCTAAAATGGTGAGAAAATTTGCTAGTTGGGTTTTCTTAAAAATTAAACACCACATAATGTTTTCCAAGGACCATAATTTCTTTAGAGAAAATCACACTTTGCCATATAGATTTATATAAACTTTTGTGCTACGGACTATACATATATCATATTAACACCACATATATAATAATTAAGCGATCGATATACTTGACGAAAGAAAAGAAAGAAATTAATTAAATAACAACATGCATTAAGATGAATTAATAAAATTAGCTTTGATTAAGAACTTGTGATTTGAAACAACCTTGAAGAATCTAAGGGTTTGTGGATTTATATATATATATATATATATTATTTTACTATTTAAATTGTTTTAGATTATAAAATAAAAATTATTAAATAAAAAGAATCCAACATCAATTATTCATCTCTGTCAAATGATTAATATATTACAACTTGATACAATTTAAATTACATTATACTTTTGTATATATCTATATACATATACGCTTGACTCCAAAGTTTCGCAAATGATGGATGCATTGACAATAGTTCTGGAAGAAGAGAAGAAGGGACCGCAAGAGCATCTTCTTGCGGACTTTGACATAGTAGGTCCATGCATGTGACTCATCTGCATCACTTCAAACATACTGATCACCATGAAGACTATTATATGTGATTTGGTGCAATGTAAGGAACCAGCTCTTCTAACACGTTTCGGTTCTTCCGTTGGCAGAAAACCAGACCTGTGTGGTATATTTAAGGTTAAATATTAAATTTAATCCTTGAACTTTTACTTTTAAACTAATTTTTTCATATATATTTTTTTCGTTTTTCAACTATAAAAAATATATTATTTTGGTCATTTCATCAATTTTGTCCATTAAGTTTATCCAGCCAGCATTTTTTCAATTTCCTTTAATAATTTGAATATGCATAAAATAAAAGTTTATAAACTGAAAATATGCAACAAATATTAAGTTAGGAATAAAAAATGTGCATAAAACAAAGTTCAACAACAAAAAAATGCTAGCCATACATGCTTAATGATTAACCGATAAAATGACAAAACAATACATTTTTTTTATAATTGAGAAATGAAAAAGTGTAAAAATAATTTAAAGATTAAAATTATTTAAAATTAAAAGTCTAGGGACTGAAGTTGACATTTTCATTTCCCCTACATGGTTGCTATCATAAGCATACATATTGTTAAAGTTTTTAATTAGAAGGTTTAATTATAAACAATTTGGAAATTTCTAAAATTAATAGTAGTAAGTATGGAAATAAAGCATGACAACAGTATGTGTTAACCCTATACTAAAGGCAACGATGCTCTTTTTCTTGTGTGAAACATGAGAAGGAAGAAAAACAGATGGGGTTACTTCTAGATTCACCCCCACCCCCCTTTTTTTTTTTTTTTTTTTTTTTTTGGTGAGAAAGTTACCTTTAGAATATAAAGCTGAGAAAAAATGGTGTGACCCAACAGCCCTATAATTAATAGGCTTGTAGGAACCACCAAGGCTAGCTACCTTAACAGTTTCCCCCATTGCAATATGCGATTCCTTTTGACCCACAAAGACATGAGCTCTAAAGAGTAAATTTTATTTTATTTTATTTTATTTTGAAAAGGCTGTCTGACTTAGCATATGCTAACAGCTAAGTCAATTAACCAGTCTAGTGGTTCATTCGCCCAGCCTTTGAGTGCTTTGAGGGTTTTTACATTTTAGGGTGGGAGAGCTTCCACTTTAGGATTTGAAAATTTCCCTCTTTCTCCGAATTACTCATGTTTAACAAAACAAACGAACCGGATTTCTTACTATGTTACGTTATTAAGCAAATAAGCAAAATATTAGACTACAAATCAACGGGCAATTAGTAATTTGCTAACATGAGTGCAAGACGTAGTTGGATTCATTACAAGTATTTTCAACCATTACAATTTCATCTAAAGAGAACTGAACCTGTTGTCAAGTTGCACCAACTCAACATTTAAACTGATATATATAGGATGTGACAACAAATCAAATTACATACACTAGCTAGGCAGTCCAAGATAACATCAATCAAACATTGTGGTGCATGTTAATTATTTTGCGTGGCTAATATGCCTAAACATATCAAAAAGGTGATAATTAAGAAGCACATCTAAGAGTCCTAGTAGAATTCTCACATCAAAGGTCACTTCCGAATACAAGCAATTGGAGGGACCTTAAGGTCACTTGGTGGGAAGTTGACAATTAGTGTCAAGATGCGACAAAATGGCCTAAGGCACAATTAGGCTCTGTTATAAGACACGGTAGAATGTTAAAATCAAATGAAAATAATATTTTTATTCACTCATTTAAAAAGTGTTGTATAGAGTTGTATACGTAGCTTTAACAATTTATTTGTAGTTATAATCGAAACCTCATAATTAAAAAATAATACTATATGGAGTACTTTTCAAGAGGTTTTTTTTATTCAGAATAGTAAAAAGAACTTTGAGTACCTTAAGTAATTAGCTAATACAAATTAAAATAGACTAAAAAAAAATTAAAGTAATAAGTGAGTTTCTATGGAGAAACATCATACAACATTATCAAATGTTTTCAAGGGGAAACCCAAGAAATGTTCAGGGAAGATGTATTATAGGGAGAATAGCCTCCCACACCTTCTTATACTCATCCCAACGATCAAAACCAAAATCCTTGACTCTTATGAAGCACTTACCCTTGCAATTGTCTTTACCCTTGTTTGAATCATACAAAACATAAGGTTGTTCCTCGTAATAACCATGCGAATAGCTATCAAACGTTCCCACACAGATAATTGTCTTCGCATGTCTGGGAAAAATTATTGAAGTCTCATTTCCAGGGGCAATGCCAATGGCTATCTGTGAAGACAAATTCAGATCACAAGTGACATAAGCCGTGTTCCCTGGCTTTGCCCCGTTGCTTACAATCAAATGTGTAGGTGAAGCCATGGATTGTCGCCATGATGCAAATAGTGATAAGATTGCTATGGCCATGTATAGCTTAAGAGTCTTCATGGGGGTGGCCTAAATGCCTAATGATCTGCTTGATTTCCCTCGTTTTCCCAAGGTAGAAGCCGAGTTTTCGCTTTAAATGTAAACTTGTTTGGGAGTTACAATATGGAAGAGCAGCAAATTTGTCTCCATGAACGTTAGTGAATGGCCATTAATCGCATTGATGAAGTTTGCTGTAACAAAAACCCTGACGATATATAAACCAAAGGTAGAAAACCTTTACTCCGTTCCAAAATACCTGACAATGGTCCTAATGTTCCAAGGGGCAGGGAAATATGGAATGTGATGTGTTAGCTTTGTTCCAAGATGCATGAAGTTAAATATTTATTGCGACCTCTCTTGTAAACATTTGAATCATGATGTTACAAAAATTATTTGCTAGTTCCCTTGATCCCAAATGGATCAACAAAGAAGTATAATTGAAAATTGAACATAAATCAGCTAATGTCAAATGACAAATGCAATTCGGGGGTGTAAAAAACTGGGTTAAACAAAATAATACTTAATAATAATAAAAATCAATCTTCAGGGTTCTGCCAGTGTTTGGTTAGAGTAAATTAGGCTTTTGCCATTTAGGAAGATCAGCTGGTGGAGGAAGCAGTTTTTGATTAGGGAGCTTTGCATCCAACACGATACAAGCCATCTTCAAACCCCAGATTGTGTGCACTTCCAGGTGACAATGCATAAACCATACTCGTGTAAACTCAAATCATTTAAGAGACTGTTTGGACTAATAACAACGTTTGTAGAAATGCTAATGCCAGCTTATGAAAAAAGCCAAAAACGTATGTCTCATGTTCTTCACCCTTTTACCTACCTGGATTGTCAGCCAGAAAACGAATCGCCACCCATCCTCCGGCGGCAGACCGTTCAACAGGGTCAACGAGGTTGAAGTTTTTGGGGTCCTTGTTGGGATCAAAGTTCCCAAAACCTTGTCCAACGACGAAGAAATTGAAGCCATGCAAATGAAGAGGGTGACTCTCAGCTCTTAGAATGCTAGTGTCATCAATAACTCTACACTCGTGTTAAAAGGAAGCACCACCAGCTTGGTTCCGTTGCTCACCATGGTATTATTAGGCGGAGTGCCGGTGTAATTGAACGGAATCACTGGATTAATAGGGAAGTCAGGGGTGTAGACGCCGTATGATTGACTGGAAAAATGAGCATGGAGTAATGAAGTGGTCGGCATTGCAAAGGACACATTGTTGACAGATGCTGCAAACATGGTTCCATTAGGTCCCTGGCAGGTCTGGTTGCCTTGACATGGACTTGTCCCAAGACCGACGGTGAAGAAGAATTTCCTATCAACCTTGTGAGGTACATTGGCTGCGAATTGTGGGGCATTTGTGCTTCTGAGTTTTTTAGTAAAATTCGTAGTGAAGGAAGTGTCATTCAGAGCAGGGAGAATTGGTTTAAACAGGGGAAGTTTGTTAATAGAGTTTTTTTTATGGAACTTATTAGGTGGCTGTACATATTCTAGAATGCCTGCCATGGTGGAACTGTCAAAAGTGCCAAGGCCTGTTACATAAGGTCTAGCAGTCATGAAGAAAGAGGCATTGGGGTAATGGGGTTTGCTCTTGAGAAGTACATTTGTAGTCTGTCCAGGGGCAATCAGGAGGGTTTGTGTCTCAAATGGTTTGACATAAACAGCATCAGCTTCAACAACAGTGAGACTGTGGTTTGCTATACTGAAGAAGAGTTCATCGTTGAGTGAAGCATTGATTAGCCGCCGAAGGTATATTTTTCCAGGCTTCACCTTCAATCTGAAAGTATCTGCAAACATCCATTTATGTATTTAATGTTGAGTTGAATATCAATCATCTCCATTTTGTAAAAGTCACAGCACTTTTAGGCACTTGTATCACCTTTGGCAGAACAGTTATAGAGTGGCCCTGGAAGTCCATTTAGGGTGCATGCATCTGAGACACTTGGACCTCCTCCTGTTTGTAGGGCTTGGCTGATGATTGCCTCTGGATCTGCATTGAACAATTCCCCTACAATTCCACCATTTTAATCTTAATTATGTCAAGAAAAATGGGATAATAACAAGGATTTAAAAAGTACTTATGGTTAGTTACCAAAGTTGATTGAGACTTCCTTGTGGGGTTTGGGGAATGGGTAGGGAACGCCATGTTTGGGAAGGATAATGAAAGGACCACAGACGGTTGCTCTTAGCCATGAAATATGTGCATGCCAGAACAGAGTTCCTCTCTGTCCCGTAATGGTAAAGTTGTACATATAACTCTGCCCTGTTTGTATGGGGCATTGAGTCACATATGCTGGCCCATCTGTCCATCCAGTTCTAAGCTGCCTAATGCCATGCCTGTCATTGCAAACAAAATTCAGATTCATAATATGTTCAGGACAAGGTTGAACTGTTAGACTTACTGTTTTAAGTGCAGAATCCTGCCAATGGATTGACATATTGTTGAAGACATAGTTAACCACTTTTATCAGAAGCTGTTCACCTTCCCTTGCTACAATGCGAGGCCCTGGGAGTTGTCCATTCACTGATACAATGCTCTTCCTATTGCTAAGACAACCATATTTTGTAGCTTGATCTACAAGAAAATGTATCAAATAATGAATAGAATAATGAGAATTAACTAGAGTTCAAATTAGTGTTAGCATTAATTAGTTTCTTAATGCCAATATGACGTGCACATACATCAAACTTGTAGTGTCTGGTGACCCCAAGTGCAGGCTCAGAATGGAGGCACAAGATCACAAAATGGAGCAAAAATGCTCCCAAAATTGCTGTTGATGGAAAAAAAGAGGCACCCATTTTCCTGTTTTGATACATCTGTTTCTGTCAACTAGTTGAGTACATATCCATCAAAGCTTATGAGAGGCAGTATATAACCATATATATGGCAAAGAAAGAAGGGTGTTTGGTGATTAGGTGATGGAAAGTCTCTTAGTTTAATTTAGCTTTCCATAAGGCAACTTTGACGCGACCAGTTGTTAGAACAAATTTAGAGCGCTATCAAAGATAAACAGCACATTTTTTTTATTAAAGAAAAAAAAACTTGGACCACCTTTCTCTTCAAGTCAAACCAAAATCCCCACCCTAGGAATACTTAAATTTCACAATGAAACTTCAATATTTCGCTGAAAATTTTGTTGATTTAAGTTTACCATTTAATGTGTTTGGTATTAAGCATTGAAGGGTCATTGTTCAAAACATGTGGAAATGTCAATCATGATGCTTGGTGATCGAGTTAGAAGAGGGGGAGCTGTCAAGAAGTCATTTTAGAGTGATGAAAATTTTCCATTTTAAGGAAGAAGGGAGGATGGATGAATAATAGGGCAACCTTAGTTGCTGCAACATTGTCTGAAGCAAACATAGAACAACAAAAGCTTATGTAAAAAGGGATATATAAACCAAACATTTTTATCTAGATTGATTAGGAATACAGGGAAGGTGTTCTATCAATAGTCTTATTCACAACAGCATTGCTGTAACTACGCTTTGTCCCAACTAGGAGGTCTCTATATCATGGGATGCTTAAGAAGGCCCAGGTTTTTTGGGTTTTGCTCATGCAAGATTCGGTCATCGGGCATTGTTCATTTTGGCCCAATAAGCCTCACATTTTGTCATTTTAATATTAGAAAAGGCCATTGAGAAAGGATAATACTAGCACTTTTTCAGGTACAAGGTAGGTATGAAATATATTTAATATTTAATTTAAAAATTTTTCTGTATAATATTTTAAATTTAATATTTACTCCAAGTACTTAAAGAACTATATTTGGTATCTAATTCAATACGCATCATGTAATTTACAAGTATATATTTATACACTTAGTTTAAGAAAAAAAAAGAAAAGACCTTATACTAATTGTTATTATTGTATGCATTGTATGTTTGGCTTAAGATTTGTTATTTATCTGAGTTATTATTGTTATGTATATGATTTCTTTGACTTAAAGTTTATTTTTTGTATTTTATTATTTTTATTTTTAAAGTTATTAGTATTATATATATAGTATAATAAGTATATGTAAAATTTTAACCATATAAGTATACCTGACAAGTTAGTTAAATAAGTCAGTTAAATAAACCAAATAAGCAGCTTTAAATTCCTATATTTGTTACTTAACTTGATACTTATAGATATGTTGTTTTCATACCAATTATTTTCTCAATTTTTTTATGATTCAAGTATGGTACTTATACAAACAAATAAAATACTTGTAAGTAATAAATATATTCGTATCCAATACTCATCCCTAAATAAGACATAGAAAAGTTCACTATTCTGCAATTAGAACTATACCAAACAACAAAATAGGTATATCATTAGATGGGAAGAAGAGTCCTTAATGGTAAAAAACTCATTTTTATTTAATGGTTAAAGTTGTATAGTATGATGCAGTCTATATTATATAATATTTTTATACATTAAATAAATAAATAAATAAAAATTTATTTATATGTAAATCTCATATATTATATTAGTATAAAATCTTAATTATTTAATATTTTTATACATTAAATAAATAAATAAATAAAAATTTATTTATATGTAAATCTCATATATTATATTAGTATAAAATCTTAATTATTTACTTTTTTTATTTTTAATTATTAAAATTTATTCATTGATTATCTTATTTA